AAGAGATGTTATCGTTAGTCTCTAAACAACATTTTGCGTTTTAAATCACTACGAACGGAGCATCACTTTTCCGATGTGGCCAACAAATATTATCACCTTGTATTATATTTAAAGAAATTAAATAATGAAGAATCTGCATAAGTATATGTATATTTCTTGCATTGTGAAAAAACAACGGTACCTCGAGCTTTCAAATTTTGAATAACATAGTCCTCAATCCGAATACTGGCAACTTGGAAGCTCGAATTTTGAATTTCCAAATTATGTTATTAACGATTTCATATTTTGTAAAATTTAATGAATTCTTGATTAACAAACTCAACGATTTCAAAGCGAGCAGTAGCAACACTGCACACAAAAAAAAAAAAAAAAAATCTCCAGCGCTCAACGCTGTCTGTCGGAAATTCTAAAGATATGCTGCTTTTAAATATTTTGTAATTTTGCAAATGAATCGAATTTTAGGTTGCCTAAGCTCCCAGAAAGTGATGTTTAATAAATCATGAAAACGCAGAAAACTTTAATAATAAGAAAGAAAATAAAGTTTTGTAAAGCCATCTTAGAAAACCAAAATGAGAAAGACTGAAAATAACTAAAAAAAAAAAAAAAAAAAAAAAAAAAAAAAAAAAACAGAAAAGTATATGCCAACACTTAACGCTGCATCGGAAATTCTAAATGTGTACTGCTATGGTTCTTTTAAAATTTTTGCAATTTTGCTGTTGAATTATGTATGGTGTATATACGAAGAAGTTTGTAGAAGTGAGTGTAACAGCAGAGTAGCAGACTGCGGCATCAGCGAGGGCGTAAAGAATCTTAAGAAACTCCCCTTTGGGCGACAATTAAAATATAAAACCTTTCAGATATTTTTTCTATTTTACTAATTTCAGATAATTGAATTCGTTAATTGTGCTCATAATTATCAGGTCCACCAATGGCGGAGTGGTTCAAGCTGCGGAACACGGGTGATTCGCTTCGTGTTTTATTATCGGCGGTTGGAAACACTAGACGCAAGATACTTTCATGGGGCTTTTTGAGTACAATGTAAATCGTTGTGAGTTTCCCACGGAAAATCCTTCCTGAAGGCATTAATCTACATATACTACATATACTCGTTGAGTGTGCTATCAATAATTAAGCAATAAAATCTAATCAAGTCTAGTTCGTAATTATAAGGAATTGGGACATTTCTTTCACTTGCATCTGTGATACGATGCATAGAGTTGCAAGTGAAAGCTTCGTATTCGATGCTGGGCGGACAGCATCGAGACAAAATGAAATTTTCGATTAGGCAAGACAAAATGAAATTTTCGATTTCTTATGCCCAGACTACTTTTATTCCATCGGAAGGGAAATGTCTTAACTCTCTCCAAGCACCGAAGCATAATTTTTAAGTTTCCATCTCTATTGCGAAAGAGGGAAGGACATGTAGAACGGAGCAATTTCTACTGCACTCGTGACACTGAATCTTCGAAGTAGTTCATATGTAAGGATGTTATTCTAAAGTTCCTATTTACATTTTATTTACCATTTACTTCCTTGTTATCCGCTTTACTCTAAAATCTTACGCATAAATTTTGCTGTAGCTGCGATATTTTAGTTCATAATCTCTCGATGATATTTCCAACCATTTTACTCTAAGCGGCGAATAAGTAACGTAACACAATAGAAAATACTTTTCGACGGCAATAGTCCGTTCTAAGAATATCCCTTTATTATGTTACTGATGTGCATTTAAGAATTATGCCAACGGTAATACTACATTGTTTCAGTTTCCTATTTCATTTAACTAATTATGTCTCTTATTAATGCATTAATGGGATCGTATTTCCCAGTCGCTAAGATTTCGAAACAGCTTCCAAAATTAGACGGCAAAAATGAAATTTATGGTAGCTACTGCAGCAATATAGTAATTAAGATCTTTTGATATTTCCAGACAGTTCTGCAATACTTTGACTGATTCATTTTACTAACTTCAAGAATGTAGAAAATTAATTATTCCATTAAATACTTTGCCTATAAACATTTGCTAATATACGTGCTGATAAAAATACCTTCTTGCATTTTACCATCTAACAAATTTCAGATAATTACAAAATACCTGCCATCTTTATTTAGAGTTTTAGCAATTTGTTTTATTAAGTATACTTTAAAGTGACACTTTATCTGCTGACTTTTTTTAAGTCCCGAAAGAACTTTTATGACGCATAGTAAATACTTTGAGCATGAATGCCTTATTATCTCCTCGTTTACTTCACCGGTTTTTCACATGTGTTTTTTCCAATGTTCCAATGTTCCTCAGTGTTCCTCTTGCTAATATAGACTCCTGTTTTTGTTTATATCGTGCTCAAATTATTTCAGTTCAACTGGAGTTTATGCAAAATAATGTTTTGCTTATTTTCGCCTTCAGTTATTCGAATTGTTTCGTTTTTTCCAGGCTATATATAATCGAATTTTCTTGCGCTTTTTCATTTCTTGCGCTTTTTCCTTTCGTTAGCGTACGTGTTCGCTTACCAGTCGTTTTCATTCGCTATAAAGAGTAAATTCTACATAAAAATTAAAAATATATTTTAATGTGAAACAGTTGTACTAGTACAGAAATAAACGTCATATTTTTATCGGAATAATTTAAAATATAACGTAAAAATAACGTAATTTAAACTGCAATCAGTTGCTAAAGCCGTGATTTTTGATATTTTGTTTTTGACCTGATTTAAAACAGAAAAATCTAAAACTTAAAATTTAGTTAGCTCAATAAATTAGTTGAATATATTCGTATTTGTTATACACAACAGTAATTGTGTATCATTTATACTCCATCCTCCATTTTGAAGTTTATGCATTATAACATTTAAAATGTTTTAAACGTGAAAACTTTATTCTCAGTTACTTCGAAACTTTATAAGGTATTTCTCCCGCCTTGTTAGCATGCCTTCGTAGTGTAGTTGTCAGCACGCTCGGAGCGGCCCGTGGTTCAAGTCCCGGTGAAGGCGTTGCTAATTTTTTTATCTCTCCCGCTTCCAAAAAAAACTAATGTCTCTACAACCTTATTATCATATATTAGCATAAATTTCGCACGCTTTCGTGTTAAACACGGTATTTGTTTAACGTGGTAGGAAATCATTACAATTTCTATATTTTAGTTAGTTTTATTGAGCTACGTTTTAATTATTTCTAATTAACTGACCTTAGATTCAGAGATTTAGAATGTGGAACTATTTTCAGTTTGAATTCTTAGGAAGCTTTCGCAAATATTAGAATTTTCAGTAAATAAAAAAAATAGATAAAATAAAAATAAAAAAACCGAAAACAAAAAAATCTTGAATTATTTCCAAAATTTATTGTTTTTATGCTTTGCCAATGTATTTGTTGTTTCATGTCCTATATGCTGTTGACAATGAAATATTATTGATTTTTACAGGGAAGTTTTCGATATTTTTTAGAAGAATCGCAGAAAGTTGCAATAAAATAGAATAGTTTCTTTAACATGAAATATAGATTTAAAGCTTGTGTATGATTCAGTGTTATCACGTTAAGGAATCACGTTAAAACTGTTGATCAATACACGTCATTTAAAGTTAATTTGAAATTTTGTGAGTCACGACAATATATGTTTATGTAAATAGTTTGGTTACTTTTTTAACAATTCATAGCTTTTAACAGGTCACTGTATTTTTTTACATTCTAAAAGAAGTGTTTTTAATAACTGAAAGTAAAACACATAGCACGATATTCAAAGTGAATTTTTTTTGTTATCCTGGTTTATTGTTATGAGACTTGGTTTCTATTTTAGGCTCAACCATTGTCTTTTTCTTGTTTAACATTAAGATTTATTTTGCCTTCTCCAATGCCTTAAGAAAAATTACACTGCATTTTTTGCAACGATAGAAATCCAAATCAATACTCCCTGCAACTCTCTGTCACTCAGGTTTCGGCTGTGTATTCATTTGGCGACAGCAGACTAACCGAGAAATTTTCGCATTCAATTCTTTTTGCTGTTGATTATGCGTAATGAAGCCCTTTCGTGATTCATCCGCAACGTTAGTTTTCTATACGAATTTGGAAGCTACTATTTTAGACTGTAAAAAATACAGTGAATTGTTAGAAGTTTTGAATTGTTAAAAAATAACCAGACTATTAATATAAATATCTACTTTCGTTACTTTTAAAATTTCCAAAAATGACCTTTAGTACAGATATTTATAAATAACACTTATATACACTTAAAGAAAAACCTTTCGACTTACTACGAGAGGCGAAAATCATAAAGCACGAGATGCAGAATATGCAACCAATAAAACATTAATTCATTGGAGATGGAAAAGGCAGGTCATGGTATTAAGATTATAACAATCTGTAAAATCTTAGATTGCAGAAATCACATTATTGTATTAGTCTATGCATATGGATCCTAGCGAACTGAATATCGCGTATTATTTTCCAATTAACTAATTGATCAATCGACCAATTAACCAATTAACCAATATCGTGTATTATTCTCTCTTCTAAATTACACCATTCCTTAAGCAAAGTATTACATTAAAGGACAGAATTTTACACTGATTAGACAGTAACAGAACACTCCAACATTTGGCTTCTATGAAAGCATTCGTTCGATGAGCATACCAGTATAACGTTGCAAGGAATATATGCAGAAGACTTACCAGGGTAGTTTTCTGTTGTCAGATTCAGAAATGTATGTATGCACGCATGTATATATATGGATGTATGTGTTCATATGCGCGCATACATATATACAGACGTGCATACATGCGTCTTTAATTAGGTCCTGATAACAGATGAGTACCCTTAACAGTAATAAAGGATTTTTCAAACATTGCATAATTTTGTAGGTGCTTTACCCAAATCAAAGAAAACGCAGAGGTATGCTTGAAATGCATAAATGTCAAAAGTCAAAGTGTTGAAAAATGTTAACAATTTTGTTTATTGTTATAGGATGAAAAGAGTTGTTTATTCTCATTTTAGTAATTCCTCTTTTGTAATAGATGAAGGTTCAGGCGTAGGAATGGATTGCGACGAGCGCTCATGCAAATACGGCGGAGTATGCGAATACGATTTCGAAGGACTTCCTCACTGCTCTTGCAATTTTCAGTGTGCTTTAGCTATGGATCCAGTGTGCGGGTCAGATGGTAAACTGTATGATAACGAATGCAGGTTGAAAGAAGAAGCTTGCAAACAACAGAAGAATATTATGCCTGTGCATATCGAAATGTGTGAAGGTATGTAATGCAATTTTTTATAATATTCTGAGAAGTTGAGATGACTTTTGGGTTTTCATTTTTGGCACTATGGAATAAATTGATTAATATTTAAATATGAAGTTCGAAACCTTTATGGATGTAATGGTTTTTTTTAAACGTATAACCATAAATCTAAAGATTCAAAATATCTGATATTTTGATGCTATGTGTGTTTCAGTTTTATATGCATATCGATTAACTGATTATTCAAAAGCTGGTAGTAGAAGTCTAGTAATTGTCTAGTAAATTGGCTTTAGAAAGGTCATGAGATGAGCTAAAATATTGAGTTTTGGGCAGTTGACTTTATTAAACAAAAATTAATATGGTTTAAAATTGGAAAATGATGTTAAAACATAGTATACTGCCTTGCGAAGGAAAAACGTTTGTGGGCACATTTAAGTGCAGAATATTCGAATATTTTCGAACAATCGTTTAGTCTGCAAAAAATTAAGTAAAAAGTTAAATCCATTTTTAATTAATTAATTTTATTCTTATGAAAATTAATTGTTTCTTCTTGTAGTATTATTTTGCTTTCTTTATTATCTTAAAATTTCAATTTACAATAAAAATTTAGGTTACAAGTTACACTCTTTAGGGAAAAAATAAGGCGGTTTTAAAGAATAATTCGATCAGCTAGAAATTTGTTTAACATTTCAAGGACAGTGAGTGTCAACTTCGGTCAAAGTGCATGCTTCTACTGTGCACTGAGCATTATATAAAATACGTAACAATCGCGGATGGTCTATCTTTTCTCGCTGTCAGCACTGCACATCCCAGGAGACAGAACGACTAATACCGATACCACGTTGTCGGAGACTTTATAGACATAATGGTCGATGGCAAGCAATAGACCGGCCACCTACACAGTACGGAGACGTATGTGCAAAGGTGCTGGCAGCAATTGTTGTCTCAAGGTACCTTTCGGCAGAATCAACACTTTGGAAAGCAAAGGTGCAAGAAAGCGAGACAAGACCTTAATATTGTGCTATATGCTCTAACTGCCCCATTAACATTACTGTTCCCTATCCAGCGTGCAAACAGCCTCTTCTGTACAACCGTGGCACCTTGCGCCACCTGACGGCACTCGGCTGAGGCAGAGGTGCGATACAACAGCTTTTAAGACGTCTTATTTAACCCCACAAACATAAACAGAGTGGTCTAGAGTGATGTCGTAGCCGACCATCATGGTTGCCAGTGTCCTGCGATGAATTACGCTTCAGGCTTTAACTTCGCCCGTGTATTACCACATGGTCAGCGGTCCTAATTACCTTTGTTTCAGTGGCATGCAGCCATTAGCCTTGGTGTGATGGAGTGAAGTGCTATCTCTTACAACAGCAGATCGACTCTAGTTATTCTGTGTACATATTTAAAAGTTTAATGACGTGTTAATATTAACCTCCGATCGTTTTCGATACTCTTCATGGTAAGCCAATCTGGAGCCATTATCTAACAGGATAATTCTAGACATAATACGGCTCCCATACCTCTGACCTGTACCAAAGTTCCGTTATTCCTCCTTTCCCATTAAGTTTACTGTATCTTTCGCCAATTGAATATAAATGGGATATGGTAGGCCGCTAAATTTGGGTACACCAAAATGTGGCAATTATGGAGCAATGATTCAGGGATACGTCAAAGAATGCTTTGAAGGTTGAGATTAGGAATCTGGGGAAGCGTTGTTAGCGCTATAAAAAGCGTGGCTATTTAAGGCTCGCTCCAGCGGCAGCTGTATTTGGAGTGATCCGTAGAAACACCAAGCTGGAGACCAACAGTTACAGGTTCTATCCTTAGCTATCACCATCGAACCAGATGAACAGACACTTCATAGGTGCTTTCTATTGATAAACATCGCCTTTCAAACATTAACCAATCACTAGGGAGAAATTTGGCCCAGCAGCCCTGATCATAAGAGTATAATCATTATGTATTTACTAAAAATTATGTATTTGATTTTAACTATTACGTAATTTATTATAACTATTATGAATTTCCAAAATTTATCAGCAACTTAATCACTAGTTTTTTTTGTTTCAAAGTGATATTTTCTAATGGTCAAAGACTGTGAAAACAAAATTGGGCTTATAATAGAGTACAATTTACATTACAAGCATAATATAATAAATAAATAACGCTCATATGCATGCGATGTAATTATTTACATTTGTGTATGCGTTGTATTTATTATACGTCTGCAGCTATAAGCAGTTAGAAAACAAATACATTTAAATGGCTTATTCAATTTTTATTCAGCATATGATAAAATACAGGCAGGAACAGACTTTGCATGAATAAGCTAAGAAGCATTTTCTTATCTTCTAATCAAATATATAAAGTAGAGTCAGTCAATTATAAAAGTAAATACACTACTCAACACTAAAAATGCAGCACAAAGAAGGAGTGGTCAGAATGTGATGAAACTCGGCAAACAGAGAGAGATAGCAACGAACAATAAGTGATCTTTATTTCGAAATGATATGCGCAATAGAGAGAGAGAGAGAGAGCAGTATCGGCTCAGTAGGTTGTAGGACCACATTAGACAGCGATGCACAAAGCAACACGTCTAGGTACAAAATCAATGAGATTACGAATGGTGTTCTGAGGAATGGTTCTCCATTCCCTGTCAACCATTTGTCGCAGTTCTTCTGAACGTGGCAGTGGCAGGGTCTGCAAATGGCGTCAATCACTTCAAAAATGTGTTCGAATGGTGAGAGTACGGTCACCAGGGAAGCACTTGTACACCTTGCAGAGCTTGTTGGCTGATGTGAGCAGTGTGTGGTTAGGCGTGATCCTGCTGATGAAAGGAATTGTGCACCTCCGGAATGTAGGGGACTGGCACCACCTGCAGCACATAATCCACGTATCGTTGAATATGAACTAGAGGTGACTCGGAATCGTACGCATTTGCGACTCAAACCAAGCACAGGGAAACGTGGACGAAGCACCAGAGCTTCGCATATGCTCACACAGATATTGCACCGTCGCAGTACTGTAAAAGCGACTCAAACCATGATGCCGCGCTGTGGAGTGTTCCACATAAACCTGTCTTCAGAGCTACACCACACTCGTACGCGGCGACTACCATTGAAGAAGCAGAAGCGTGATTCATATGAGAATACGACCTTGAGCCATTCCTTCGTCCACATCGCTCGGGACCAGCAACATTGCGGACGTTGGTGTCAATGATTTGGGATCAAGGGCTGTCTTTTGAACGGATGTCACGAGTGCATGCCACAGTCACCAGTCGACGGAAATAGTTCTGGTCAATATGGAAACATCCAGGGTGTCTTGCGGGCTCTTCACCGCTTGCCGGCGGATGCGTTAATTCACGCGTCGTCCTGACATCACTCTGGCTGCACCGCCACTCCACGAACTTGCCACATTTGCTTCTTCCAACCATTTTTGCTACAGCCGGTGCAAGGTGGATGCGTCCAGGAAATCGTCTGTCCACTGAAACTGCTTCCGTTGACGATGGTCTGGCATTTTCTGCTATTATACGCGTCCTCTGAAATCAGAACAAATTTTCTATGGTGATCTCCCAAGCAGAAATAACGGCACCAAATTGAACATTCTGTAGTTTCCCTTCCCTTATATCTTTTTCGCGCTGGAGAGCTGCGCAATTCACACAATACGGTGACGTGCGTCTACACTGAAATGTGCATGGTTTTTGGGCCACTCTTCCTTGGTGTTGCATTTTCAATGTCGGACAGTGTAATATGGCAATTCTTATTTAATTTGGCAATGAATGATAATTAATTTTACTTTAAAAAGTATTCTAAAATTCAAAATAATAATAAAAAAGTTTACTTAGAAACCGAATTCTTTGCTAACTTGTATGCTTAAAACACCAAAATGCCCGTCTTCATCATTTACACGTTCCGTCCGTTCCTCCCCTCCTCGTCCTCTAACGCACAAAGAGGTGTGAAAATTTCAAATGATATCCGTTCTTCTTTTTAACAAAGGAGCTTCTTTTAGCCTTTTAGGACAAGCTGCCTAAAATAAACTGATATAATGCATTTTAGTACCTTGCATCTGCTACTGTGTGCTTTAGGAAGAGGGAAGAAAACAACATTGCAATCTCGGCCGTTTCGGCGGTTGTGGTCGTTTGAATGAAAATGCGTCTCGAGCATTTTAGTTTTTAAAGGGTTAAATAGTATGTACAATGGATGGCAATGGCAAATTATAGAAAAGTAATTATTGAACAGAAGCAGCAGAGCCAATGATATTTTAAGACCACAACAGCACACATGATTAGGTTATGAAAATCTCAAACTGAAGTGTGTCGTGAAAAACTTTAGAAAAAGGAACCCTGTCATGAAGACATTAAAAAAGAAGCATGATTTTAAATTACATTACTAAACTTTATCGTTTTGGTTTGTTTAACCCTGTTTAAATGTTAAGTACTCTCTCACTTTCATATCTCTTCTTTGCCATGCTGGAAAATGAACCATTACGCCAATTAATGTATGGAGAAACAAAATGGGAATTAACGTAATTCAACGGAAACAAAATATTAAGTTTATAACCTTCTACTCTGTAACTGCATAGGGACATGAAGTATGATTGGTATTTTAGGTCGCACTAGGCTAAAATCATTGAAAATCAAAACCATAAGAATATGATTATTAAATGGATACTATAGAATTACTTAACTGCCTTGGTTATGCCCGGTTTACACGTCAGTAGGAAAGGAATATTATATTCAGATTTCAAAAGAAACTTTATATTTTACAGTGTCGCCCAACTAAAAGGGACTATGGAAATAATGAACTCTGTAGCTGGCAACTGTTGGGGTATGGAGGTTTCCCCCTGGTTTGCTGTGTGTGCCTGAAATATTTCTCGTTAAGACGAAAATTTAATGTCATGGGTGTAACATTTTTAAGAAGAAATGACCCAAGAAAATTAAGCATTCAAGGGCCTTCTTAGTTGAATAATAGCTGTGTTAATAACTTCCCTGCACTTATTAAAGAACAAATTCTCATGACTGAAGTTTTATTTTGTAAATTAATATTGCGTAATTGAAAATTTGCACAAAATTTATATCTCAAAAGGAATGCATATTAGATAATATTTCCTTAAGCTGTCAAGGTATAAACTTAAGGAATGAATAATTATTTCATTAAAAAATAAATGCAGTATAGTATTCTAAAGATTTTATTTCATGCGATGCATTTAAATTAAAGCATCCTTTTTCTTACGAGACACGGCGGCGAGAAAGGAAGCTTCAAATTGGTTGGGCTCTCTAATCCATCTCAATTTATATTTGGGCCAACTTCTTTCTTTAGATAGACAGAACAATAAACTTGTAGATTTGCGGTTTGTGAAGTAGGCATTTTTTCTGTTTTAGAGTTCCGTGAGGTACCTTGTGATGGAGAAATTCCCCTCATCGATCCAACCACAAATAAGGATTACTTCTGCGGCGAGGGAATTGGATCTAAACTGTGCCCGCCAGGAAGTTACTGCCACAGATCCTCGGCTTTTTCTAAGTGCTGTCGAGAAGGTTCGTTGTTTTCTGTTGGATACTTCGTTTTCGTATATATTCTTTTATTTCCAAAATTATTTCCTCTTATTTGTCAAGTGCGTTTAGATTCATTTTTTTTTAAATTTATGTAACCAATATGACGGAAATAATTAAATATGATAAAAGCTTTTTTAACGATTTACAACTGATAAGCCAAAACGATATAGTAAACTTCCACCGGATGTCGATCTCCACATTAATTAAAAAATGAAATTTTAAGCTTGAAAGTTTCTAAATCTCAGATATAAACAATTTAAATTAGTTCTCTGTTTTTTTTTAATTAAATTTATGCGAAGGGAGAAAGAAGCCGTGAGAGAATTCCAGGAAAGGAAAGTTATTTTACTTATCTATGTATATATTTTAACTGTATTTTACGATAGTTGTTGATAAATTTAAAATCTTTCATCTTTAATAAAGAAGCAAACAAAATTTGTATCAAATACTTAGGAGTTTCAGGATAAACTCTTTCATATCAAATTTAGATTCCGAACATGAAGGTAAAATCATCAAAATCCTTCTAAAATGTTGCCATTTTGCAGCAACAAGAATATTTCTAAATTGTTTTCTAAACTGAATGGTAAAGTCTTTAAGCTGTTAAAGGGGATAGGCTCAGGTATGCAAAATTAAGCTCTTTAACGATTGTGCAAAAATTAATTCTTGATGTATTTTACATTTATCACTAAATCTTATTTAATGACGGAAATTAAGAAGACATACTGTCTATGTATATGTAAATAAAACATTAGAATTAAAAGAAAGGAAGTATTTCTCAAGAGTAGCTACAGGCGATAATTAAAAATATTTGCGGGTTTTGAATTAAATTGGTTAGAAATGGTGCATTAGTGACCAACTCTAAATCCAAAAGACACTATTAGATGGGTTTCACAGTAGTTTCACGATACGTTCTATGTACAATATTTTCTTTAAAAGGCTTTTCATAAAGGTTTTGCTTTTGTTTGGAATTCAGTCTTCGATAGCTTTGCCATAATTAACTAACCAAGTAAATGTAATACAGTACAAAGTCCGTACCGAATTCCAACAGTTTTAGACATTTGATCATCAGTTTAAATATAGCAAGCCTACATATATATATATATATAGCAATTTTGTAGCTTAATATTTAGGTCAGATAAAAAGTGTTAACCCCTTCACATAGCGGCACCAGAGCCGGTGTAAACCGAGGAATTGGAAGGAGAATTTAGAGGCGCCAAGAAGTTTTAAATTGAAAGGGACACGAGTACTAAAAAATCAGGCGCGGCAAAACTGTTAGAATTTAGGAAAGGCATTAAAAACAGAATTTAGGAGCAGCAAAATTTCGGGATTCAGGAAGATACTGGCATAATTTAGAGTCCAAAATGATTGTACCGGGTGGCAAAATGCTTAGTATCGGCGCTGCAATTACTGCCACCTCCCATAAGCATTCAAGGGCCTTCTTAGCATGCCTTCGTGGTGTGATGGTTTGCACACTGAGCGCGTATTCCAGAGGTCGCCAGTTCGGTTCCTGGCGAAGGCGGTTGCTCATTTTTCATCTTTCCTGCTTCCGAATTACCTAATGTCTCAATAGTGGCTCCCAAATTAAAAAGGGTTGTGATTGACGATTCCCTTCACCCAGAATTTGGCGAGTGGGTCACTTAAAAACTCCGGTCGCCCTTTAAAAGGGGGAGTATATAAGGTATTTCTCCCAATTTATTAACATGCCTTCGTGGTGTGGTGCTCTGCAGGTTGGGCGCGTATTCCAGAGTTCCGGTTCGATTCTTGGCGAAGGAGGTTGTTCATTTTTCATCTTTCCTGCTTCCAAATGTCTCTACCCGACAACATATATTAGATCATTCAGAATTATGGACGTCTTGATTTCGGACTTTGGTCTGTATCGTATTCGAGTTCTTTAATGTAACTTTTGCTTTTTCGTCAACAATTCATTATTTAGTTAAACTATGACGTTTTTGTTTTAATTATTAATCTCTTTAGAGTGGCACGAGCTGCAAAATCAAAATATTGGAAAAGAACATAACGTGATAGAAGTATAAAATATTCAGCATTTCTTATTCCAAAATTACTTGCTTTGCAACTCCATCTTCTGTTTAACTGTTTGAAAACGTACCGTATTTGCATTTCCTACCATACTTGTCAATTTACCGTATCTATATCTGCTTTGGAAGTACTGTTTCGTGCATGATAACTTATTTATCTAAATACATTTAGTACTCGTACTTGGATATCTCTAATTACTAACATGATGCATATTACGTCAATTTTTATTAGAAGGTGCTGTTCTTCTCTGAAATATTGCTATAATGGTCATTTGCACATTTTGGAATTTAAACGAAGTCATTATCCTACGACTTGTCGGCCGTTTTCGTATGACTTATGAGAATGATAATGATATTATTATTTTACATTTGCCTATGTTCATGAGTTTTGGATCGCCTATGATTGTAAAAGCTAATATTTCAATAGCATGCAATATTAATTAATTATTAATATTAGTCTTATAAATTTATTGAATGACACAGGAAAGGGATAGTAACCTTGGAGTGTTCTCCATCAAAAGTGGAAGGGAGCTTACAAAGAACATCTGCTAATCTTGAAGTCTTATAAATGACGTTTTCGTCTAAAATTCAAGCTATAAACCATTTTTATAATCATTTTTAATAAATAAAAAGCAAATGGAATAAAAATTTAATAATGCAAATAATAAAACTGCTCTAAACATGCTCTTATCTGCGGACGAATAGGTGTTTAAAAAAACAATATTTAGTCTAATTAAAAGCTATATTTCTGAAATTACGCAGGCTAAAGTAAAATTTAGGTCCAATTTTTTTTTTAATCAAAGAATGGCAAAAAATAAAAACAAATTTGTGATCCTGTCTGATATAATTCAGCCTTCTAAAATTTGAATTCAGTTTCTCTTTTTAAATATTAGAAAAGCAAAAAATAAAAATGAAAATTAAATCGTGTGCGCTTGTCTAGTTATAATTCGGCTGAGTTACACCAGACAAGGCCATACTTTTATTTCTAATTTTTTGCCGTTCTAGGCTTTAAAAAAATTATGATCAATTTTATCTTGTCTTGTGTAATTTCAGAAATACAGCTTTTAATTTAATTAATTAAGATTATTTTAACCACGTCTTTTCACTTGAAAAAGGCGAATTTATTACAGCAATCGTTATTATTCTATACTATCATTAACATTTTATTTCATTCCTTTTTTATTTCATTAGAAGTTTTATGAAAGTGTTCATGGCTTGACATTTAGAACTAACCATTTTTTAATTTTATTCTTTTTCTTGCCACTAAATGTTATTCTATTTTATTTGTATTTTTTGGCTTCTTGACGAAATTTTTAAGTTTAACAGATTTTTCTTTAAATGTTCATTAATTTTGAGGCTGTAGCACAAATTATTCTTTGGTTGGAATTAGAATACAAAATTCTCTTGTTTCCTTGTATATATGGTACGGTGAAACACCGAAATCTGGAGAATTTCGACTTTCACCGGTGAATGTCAACATTCACATAGTCTCTTGGTGTATGTCCGAAATATTTTCCAAATATTCTTATTTCTGACTTACACCGGTCAATGTCGACATTCACCGTGTACTAATGGTGAATGTTGAACATATAACAATATTATATTTTCTTCTCCGTAATTCAGTCACGAATAAACGAACTTGAGACTTGAAATAAGAACTTAAGAACATGAGAACCTAAAACACACAATACATTCAAAATGTGAAAGGAAAATAATAGAAGTTAAAAACTTACTTAATTATACAGTACGTTCTAAATGAGATAATAAAAAACTTACCAAATTATGTGATTCAAATCTTATTTATTGCAGCAACTTAAACTATTATGACACTTTATGACCTCTCTTTTCGACTTACACCAGAGCATATCTGTGATTTGTTCACATACACCGGTGAGGGACCGAATATACAAGAATGTAGTGCAATATTCGATCTTTCACCAACGTATTTGGTGAATGTTAACATTCTCTGGTGAAAGTCGACATTCTCCAATTTCGGTCTTTCACGGTAACATATGTTCAGATCCATAGGATGATCTTATGTTTGTGCATGTAAAACTTAAAAAATTATAGAAATTACAAAATGGATATTGAGGGCAAGTTTATCAGACAAAGCTCTTATACACTGCTGGCCACCCAAATTGCAACACCAAGAAAAACAAGAGATATCACAACAAAATTTATTTAGTAGATAACATGTTAACAAGTATCAAATAATTAAATTTATAAACTTCTGTGATGTGTGGTTCATTCCAGAATCAGTATCCAGAGTAGCCGCCATTGTTGGAGATCACCCGCTGCCACACGCTTCGGCATTGATTCAAAGAGACTTTGGATGTGTTCTTACAGTACAGCAGACACATTGCCAAATTCAGCTTCCACACGTTGCCAAAGTTGATCTGGTGTGGCAGCTTGGGATGTAATCTGGGTCAATCGTTCAGTAACCATGGACCACATGTTTTCCATTGGCGAAAGATCCGGAGAACGAGCCGGCCAGGGAAGCAATTCAATCCGGCGATTGACGAATAACCCTTAGACAATGCGTGCCACGTGTGGTCGCGCATTATCCTGTTGAAATATGGCTGTGGGCAAGGCCTGAAGATAAGGGAGGACAACTGGCTCCAACATCTCGGAGATGTAGCGCTGGCTGTTTAAAGTACCGGCAATGCGTATTAGAGGAGTGCGAGAGTGATATCCAATACCTCCCCATACCATAATACTCGGTGCAGGACCAGTGTGGCGGTGCATAACGCAGCTGCCCAGCATCCTCTCTCCACGGTGTCTCCAGACTCGAATCCGACCATCGTGGTGTTGCAGACAGAAGCGTGACTCGTCAGTAAAGACAAGTTCATTTCATTCTGGTGTCTACATCCTTCTTTCATCGCACCATTGTGGCGGAGACGTCTGTGATTCTGCGTCAAGGGTAGACGAAGCAATGGACGTGTTGTGGAC